GACAGGAACAGGAAATGGCCTGTTAGTACCTTAAAGAGGCCCCCGCTGCCACTGCTGCCATCTGACCCCCCCGAGCCCAGGGAGTCCCTGCGGCCTGTCAGCTTCCGTGTGGAGTCCGGGGTGGAGTGGGGGCTCAGCCCCAAGAAAGGGGCCCCATCTGGGGGCCCGTCGCTCCCGCTGTCGGACAGGCTGCGCTGAGGGCTGGGCCTACGGGCGCGCAGCGAGGGGGCACTGTCCCCAAACAGGCCCCGCCTCCCCGCAGGCGAGGACGCCCTGATGGAGCCCACCAGCTTGCCGAAGACGGGCGAGCCGACGGGGCCGTCCTGACGCTCGCGGCCCGCCGGGAGGAACCAGTCGGCACAGGAGAGGCAGGGGGCGGGGGGGGCGGCCAGGCGCTCCTCCAAGGCCGTCTGCAGGCCCTCCAGCTGCAGCAGCGTGGCCTTTACCTGGTCCACGTACACACAGTCGGGCCCCGGGGAGCCCAGGGCGGGGGCCGCACACCCCCCCGCCTCCAGCAGCACGCACTGCATGAAGTGCCTCTGTGGGAGGGGACACATAAGGGCCATATATAGCTTTTAAAGTCAGTACCTGACAGCATACAGTCAACCTGTCAATCATGTCTTGGGGGGGGGGGGGGTTCCTACTGCTGTGCGTGCCTTTTCTCCTCACCTATGCAGGCCAGCCCAAGTCTAGATGCAAGGTCACATGGTCACCTCTTATTTCCATGGTAGCGGGACCCAGGGTCACCTTTGGCCAACAATGGTAACCAGTAACCAAGTAAACAGCACTGTGTACCCCAATGGGGGGGGGCGGGGGAGGTAAGCTGACAGGAATGTGCACTACAATAACAGCTGGGGGGGGGGGCAGAGACTAGCAATACCTGCCAGCTTATGCCCCCCCCAGTCAGAGCTGCACGCCTTTGTTGGTCTGGCAGGCGGCGGCATCCTTACCACCCCCACGATGAGCAGGAAACGCCTTCCCTGGGGCTCGCTGTAGCCCTGCTCCACCCCCGAGGCTGCCGATTGGCTGAGGCGGTGGGGAAACACCTCCCTCCAGATGACCAGCTGGCCAATACGCTGCTCAGAGGCCAGGGGCAGGAGGCCGAAGTGCTGGCAGTACAGGGCCACGTCCAGGAGGTCCTCCTTAGGCAGGTGGCTGGCTAACAGGTAACCCTGTAGCACACAGACACACACACAGACACACACACAGACACACACACAGACACACGCACAGACACACACACAGACACACACACAGACACACACACAGATACAGGTTTGTATTCATATCTTTATGGGGACCGTCTATTCATCTCAATGTGGAAAAACCCTAATCTCAGCAATGACAACTTTGACCCCCACCCAGCCCTATCCTTAACCGTAATTAACCCAACAAAATACAAGACTTTTAGCATTTTTCGTTTTTTAAATGGTCAAAATAACAGGTTTCTATCACATGTAATATATGAAATATATACATAACACACACACACACACACATCCATCCAGCCATGGCTGCAGAGAGACGGCCATCACTTTAGGACAAGTTACCTCATTATAATGATTATTCCACTGGTTAAGTAACATACCAGGGGCACCACAGCAGAAAGATGTGAGGTAAACCTTTAAATATTTGTCAGAAGTTCCCTTACATGTCTACACATGTACACAAAGACAGTTCAGTGGTCTGTGTATGACAGGACGGGCCTAAAATGCAGATATGTTGTACATTACCGTTTGGGTCACAGCGTGTCACCCAGAAAAGCAGCTGTGGGACAAGCAGCAGCTGGCTCAGGGGCTCTGCTGGGCACTGCCAATCGGGGGCACCCGGCCACTGCCTAACAACCCAGAGCACGGGACGTGGAGCCGGCTACGTTAAATCATTAACAGCTACGGACTACAGCCGTGAAACACTTTTCATTTCACACTGATGATTCAAGGTCAAAACAAAGATAACTCTACAAGGCCCCAGTCATTTAAGTCTATGATTTAGCTTTTACGATATTCACTGAAATAGCACCACAGCGAGCATTCGGCACACCGAGTTTTAATCAGGCCAGATGAGGGCAGTCTTGAGCCCTGAGGATTTTTCGAACATGAAGTTCAGTCATACTAACTCTGTCTTGGATCGTCAAAGTCCAAAATCAACCTTCTCAGGTATGTAGAGATTCAGCTCCATAACGGAGCAAAAACATTTCCCAGCTAATCGTGGCCTTAAACCGGCATTTCCGGGAGATGGGTACTGTATATCTTTATCTTAATTTCAGTGTACTGACGTTTGCAAAACTAAGACAACATTTACATGGTCCTTCAAGATGACCTTCCTCACTGGATAACAGCAGTATTTTATCTGTATGTTCTTCAGAGGGAAACATCGGAGAGCTGTCAAGTATGAAACAGCTGGGATTTTAAAAAGTAATAATAATATTAACAGAAAGACAGAAAAAGTCAGGAACACACACGTGTGGCACCGAAGTATGATGCTTAACACACAAAAGGAAAGACGTTTTCCCGTCCCAGGGTGTCCGTGATGATGGGAAACAGCTGGCCCGTTTGGCTGCTTTTCGCAGATCTGCAAATCTGAGCGGCGGTCTGGATTCGACCTGGGATGTAGATTACATGCATTATGGCAGCCGTGTATTTTTAAGCAACGTTAATCAGAGGTTTCAGCAGAGCCAGACGAGCGGGAGCCCAGCCACAGGTCTGCACGGCTCGCCGAGTCACTGCCAGAGGAATCCAGCCGTCCGCACATGCCTCCATTAGGGCATCTAATGACTGCTCATTACCATGACGTGTGGCGCCACCTGGGGGCCCATAGGGGGCTCAGCCACGTCGTCCTTCAGTGCGTTTCAGTTTAGAGAAAACCCTGAACTAGCCCCTTCTTGGGAGGTGTCTAAAGCTAGACCTCAAATTCAACCTCTCTCCAAAAAAACCCCACATCAAACCATGACTCGCTGAGCTACCTTCCCGCCATTTCACTCTGACGTTCTCGGCGTGAGTAAGAAGGCCATGGGGCCCACAGAAGCCGAGAAGAAAAGGCAGGAATGGCTCCTTCATACACACACTGGGATTCTCGGTCCCTCAAATCACATGATGGCGGCTGCTCACTTTGTAGAAGAGACA